GAGAAAAGACAGACAGACAGAGCAGGCTCCCAAACAGCAAAGAAGCGTCTAAACTAGCATGCTTCTAGATGATCCTGCAGAGCAGGTGAGTTATTAAAAAAATGCAGATGCTAAGCAGCAGAGAAACACTTCCTTGGCATGGTGGTTCTCCTCAGAAAGTGAGGTTTGCTGGCAGTTTTTAAACAAGCAGTATTGGGAATTGTTAGTCACAGAGGTCAAGTCCCAGGGACTTCCTTACAGGGACACGAGTTACTTTTTCATTCCTCCTAACTCACTCGGGTATATTCGAAAAGCTCATCATAAGCCTTTCGCTGCGCAATCAGCAGCTGCTTCCCACCAAAGCCAGTGATCAAAAGGATTATGCGGTATTTGGTGAGACTTTAGGGCGTACATTCTAGGTTTGCCTGCTTAGAAATGTCTTATTCATCAAGCCAAACCCTTAAATCACAAGTACGATCAGAGTTGGAATCCTACCATCTTTCCTTTCACTGACACACTTCTTTTTGGCTCTTTGGAAGGCACCTGTTCTCAACCATCACCGCGCATCAAATGCATGACACGGAGTACAGAAATTAATGACTGTCTTTTATTGAACTGCCTAGAGCACATTTCTTTTAAAACCAAAAACGCAGTACCAAGATGTTGCTATTCAACAGGGACTGCTTTCTGACATCCTGATCCATCCCCTAGGCAAGCCAAGCCTTCCCCGCGCTTGGTGTCAACCCAGCAAACAGAGTTGCATGGAAAGTGACCCCACAAAGCGATGTCAGCATACACGTACAGGCAGACAGAGATGGAGTCTTGCTCTGAATTGTTGTTTACCATTCCCCACCTTGAATGAACACTATGTCACACAGTGCTCACCTATCTACTGACTTAAACAAGTCTCCTCCTACAAGCAGTGCGGTGTGTACAGAGCATTTTACACAATCACAGCTGTAACATTTCCCAAAAGCGCTGTAGCTGTCATACAGTTCCAACCCATACTGGCTTCCATGTACACATTCCAAAGGGATTCAGACCATTTGGAGGGAAAAATTAAAAAAACAAAAAACAAGCAAACAAAAAAACTTGTTATGCTTATTGCAGCTTTAGAAAAAAACTGTTATCTTCATTGATCATATTTCTCATGACACATGCAACTTGTCCTAAACAATGCACATCCGATTTCACATCCATTTCATATCTATGTAGAGTTAAAAAGAAAGAAAGAAAGAAAAAAAAAAAAAAAAAAAAAGAAAGAAAGAAGAAGACAAATGAATCAGTTGCAGTACTAGGCCAAGTCCTAAGTCCGACACGGCATCCTGAAACCAAACAGCACAGTTTGCTTTGGTATGGACAAAAATGTTCAGAGAGCTGTTCAGTGCCATCAGGCACAGGACTGTCACAGCCAGCTAACCTCCCTCGCCACATGTACAATTTCCCTGGCAAGTAATCACAGTTCAACAGTTTAAAGCAAACGATTTCCAACACACACAAAAAACAGAGCTTGTATGAATGAGGCTGTTCAGACTTTGACTGGCCTACCATTTTTGCTGAATTACTTCCAATTTCTATTCAGTTCAATTACCAAATTTCACCAAGAAAATTCCTTAGGTGGGAGAGGCTTCATTTGGAACAAAAAGCATGCCTTTCATCCCCCCCTTGCATCAAACTGCAGCTCCCACATCGCACGGATTGAACACTGCTGTCACGTGACTGGGGCAGCTCCTTTGCCGTGTGAGCATCACGTGAAGAAGGGAGAAGAAGAAAATACAAAGCAGTACAATGGGTTACATCCAGCTTCATCTCAAGATATTCCTTGTGCTAGGCTTTTTATAGCTCAGTAGTTTGACGAAGTACAAGCTCAACCCTGTAGGGCCCTCAGTGGCTTCCTCAATGCCACATCTCTGCCAACAGCAATATGACATACCTTGTGAGACATGGTTCTAGAGCAAAAAGCCAACAGGTTTTTTGCCAACAGGTAAGTGCTCTGAGCAGCAGAGAGTGGGCCTCAGTGAGCCACGACAACATGCAAGGGGCCTTGCATCACACCATCCCCAGGCACCTCAACAGGCTGAAAGGAAAACCCAGTTTTCGGGAAAACCTGAAGGCCTTATGCTGCATGGCATTCCCACAGCAAAGCAGTTAAGGTGATCAGGTTGGGTGCTGCTTCTGCTGAAACCACTTGCTGTGACCCTAACCTAGGTGAAGGATCTCGAGCTACCTTTGGATGTGGCTCGGTGAGGTGCCTCAGGTTTGGAGGCTGTATTTTGTGTTGGTGTACAGAAGCTGGCATTCCCAGTTGGTATCTGGAGGTCGATACTGCAGGTTGATATGCAAACTTTAATAGTGCGTGCTCCTAATTGGTGAGGCTGCTACAAGTAAAGCAAGCGGCACCACCTGTTTGACAGAAGCCATCTCACATCAGGGTTGAATAGTGCATGCTAGCTGCAAGCCAGCCCTCCGTCCCCTTCTGCTATCACTAACCGACTGGACAGCGGGGTCAGGAGGGCTTCCTTCCAAGAGGGGAGATGCACAGCCTTAGCTGGCTCCCTATCTCCCTAACTCATAGCAGTAGCGAGACACGTCCGCCCATCCGAGGCAAACAAATAGTCTCAGTGGGTGAATAAAGATTATGCCTCTTTAAACCAACTGTAAATCTGCATGAAGACAGAATGTACATACACAAGTAGTCAGTGTGCAATGTGACGTCAATCTGAGTTTTACAGATTTATTATTACTGTACATAAAATCTCCTAGTAATAATAATATTCTATGTAAAATACTAGAGCGTTGGGACACTTTGCGGGTGAAAACCATACAAGAAAAATAGGAAAAAGTAGGTCAAGTGTTTAAAAAAAATGCTGGGAGGGAAGCACGCCATTAAAAATGTAAGGGTTGGGGGCTGGAACGCATTAGTGTGAATCTCTTCCATTCGGTGTACTAACCTTGAGAGTTGCATTGCACAGAAGAACGAATTTAAAGGAAAAACGAGAGAAATGCTTGCATTGGGATCAATCAGTTCGCTGTTTATTGTTATTATTCTCGCTTTCTGTTTATTTTGTTTTTAAGCACAGTCCCACCCCTGCCTTGAGCCATCTCTACAACTCGCAGCCACGCTGAATACAACTCTCGCACCTTAAGGATGCACCAGGACACCCACCCGCCCACCCTGGCCATGCCGCCACGCTCCGTTACGTGGTTAAAGAGAAGAAAAGAATGAAAGGGAAATGAGAAACAACCTCAAGGGAAGGCTGCTCCTCTTGGGACCTTCCTTGCCTACTGATCCTACTGCTGTTTCTTCAAGGAAAGGAGCCACGCTCTGTGACATACTTGTGGCACGAGGCGATGCTCAGCTGACACCTCTACAGATGGGACCAGAGATCTGCGTTTGTGTGGCTGAAGGAGCACCAAGGGGGAGAGGGAGTGAAGAGAAGTGAAGGCAGCTGGTTACGAGAGCATGCGAGTGGCTAGTAAATCCATGGTGTTTCAGTCACACTGGTTAAGCAATTCTAACAGGTGGCACTCCTTAGCAGCTTTTAGGGCTGCCAAATCCCTCCATCAGGAACGAGGAAATTCTGGAGATGCAGCCAGGGAAGCATGTGAACCCAGTGGAAGATCGGCAAGCGTGCAAGCACATTTCCCAAGATATCTCACTTTTCAGACAGGTCGATGAGCCCTCAGAAGCTCTAATTTATCACATTCAGCCCAACAGCACCTGGGCTAGTGAGCCCAACCAGAGAGTCCTGTGTTTTCCTAGCAAACTTTGTACAAAATCAGCCAAGCTGCTACCAAGAAAGACATGAGCTGCTAAGCCTATCTGGTTTCTCACGTGTGGAGTCTGTGCCAGGTATGGGGTTAGCAATGCTGGGCCACTACGCATGCGCAATGACAGCTTGAGACCATGCAGAGCTAAGGAGCAAACTCCAGCAAGAGTAGGTCCCTCTCACCAGTGGTTTCCTCTCACCAGAACAGTGGTGAGGATGGCTATAGAGGAGTTAATGCCATCAACCACATGTACCTTCAGAACCAAGCATCCCTCGGCAGTGCCAACACCAATGCCACTACCCACACTGATGTAATGCAGGACAGACCAGCGGGCTCTTGCTGTTTCCCCCAGGCCCTCTGGCTGGCTCACTCCTGCCTGCACCGAGCTGGAGCACCAAAACAAGGTCTCAATTAATTGCTGATTTCTGTGACTACGGATCCCGATGTCACCCCATGTGCACTGTTCCTCTGCACTGAATCCATCATTCTCGACACCTCCAGACACATCCAATGTACGCGCCTCGCCAGCAACGCTATAATTTTAATAATGACAAGGGATTACGTGTGATTACTGGGCTTCCCTCTCCTCGTTCCCCTGTCTACCTACGAGCCCCAGCCACGCTCTGTGCAGCGGGTGTTCTGCCTTCCATTGTCTGTTGGGCTTGGCACGTTCACCAAAACCTCTGCCAACACAAGACCCTGTCTGCACAGCCAGGAGCGCTAAGCACATCCGTCAGGTTTGGAAGCACAGTGTAAAGACAAACGTGGATGCAGGTCAGAGGGCAAGCAGCCCAGCGTACCTCTGCTATTTTCCCACCGTGTTCCCCAGGCCATGAGAGGGCTACTCTGCAAAACGAACTACACGGGCACGTGTCACAGCACCGGCTTTGCCACTGGCCAGCCCCAGATGGGTGAGCCAACGCTTCCCCAGACTTCTGCTGGGGCACTGCTCAGCTCCAACTCTCCCTCTCCCCACCATCCCAGCCCTAAAACCGCCCTGAAACAACCACGATCTCCAGGTAAAGAAAAAGGAAAAAAGAATAAAGAAAAAAAAAAAAACTAACAAAAAGCAGCGAAACCAGCCGGCCACCAGTCTACTGGGTCACGCAGCGGGCGCACCGGGCGAGCAGCACCTCGGCTCAGCTCTGCACGGCACGGGGCGGCGGGCAGGGCGCAGCCTCCGACCCCGCAACCCGCAGGGGAGCGGCCGCAGGGCGGCGGGGCCGGGGCCAGGCGCGGAGGGGCGGGGGCGGCGGGCGCGGGGCCGCGCCGGCGGCGGGAGCACCCTCAGAGCCTGAAGGAGGCCTCGGAAAACGGGTGCTGCATCTTGAAGCTAGACAAGAAGCACTGCAGGGGCGGGGGCAGGGGGTTGAGGAGGGACGGCGGGAGGCTGGGGAAAAAGAAATCATCTCCTCTGACCTCTAGCGAAGTGCCAGGTTTTTTCTTAAGCTCTTCACATTTCCTAAATTTGCAGATCTGGTGTCCCGTTTTGCGGTTCCTGCAACTGCTGCAGACTCCACAGTTGATGAGCCGCTTGCAGGGCACGCACACCCCGCAGCGTTTCCGCTTCTTCTTGGCGGGGTTGCCCGCCCCGGCCCCGGCCCCGGCGCCTCCTCCTCCGCCGCCACCACCTCCGCCACCACCGCCGGCCCCCCCGCCGCCGCCGCCGCCGCCGCCTCCTCCGCCGCCCCCCGTGCCGGCGGCGGCGCCCAGGGCGGAGGCGGGGGCGGCCGAGGCGTGGCTCTGCGGGCAGTCCGCCAGGTTGGCGATCTGGAAGGCGCTGTCTGTGACGGCGGCCGAAGCCGCGGCGGGGGAGTGCAGGGCCGTCATGACGATGACCCCGGGTGGCAGCGAGAGGCCGCCCAGCGCCGGGATGGCCGAGAAGGTGCCGACGCGCTCGGGGAGGTTCATGATGTCGGCTTCGGCGGCGCCGCACTTGAGCTTGTTCATGCACTCGCCCGCCAGTGGCCGGCAGTGCTCGGGGGCCAAGCCGGAGAGGAAGTTGCCGTTGGCCATGGGCAGCGCGGGCTGCTCGGCCGGCGCGCAGCCGGGCTTGCCCAGGCGCTGCGAGTCGCTCCGGTGGTGCATGCCGCCCCTGCCGGCGTGCAGCGAGGAGGCGGCGGCGGCCGCGGAGGCGGCGGCGACGGCGGCGGAGGAGGAGGAGGAGGAGGGCTTCCTCGCGCCGCCCGCCGCGCCGCCGCCGCCGCCGCCGCTGCCCCAGAGCATGGCGGTGGCGGCGGCGGCGGTGGCGGTGTCGCAGTTCCAGGGGGACATGCCGATGCGGGCGGCGGCGGCGGCGGCGGCGCTGGGGAAGATGGGGGTGGTGATGCGCGCGATCTTGGCCGCCTGCGGGAAGGCGCCGCCGTTGGTCTTGTAGAAGGTGGCGAAGGAGCGGTACCTCTCCATCTCCGAGTTGTAATCCACAAGGCTGTTGAGGGCCCCCTCGGGCAGGTGGCTGTCCTTGGGCAGCCCCGGCGCCTCGGGGTTGGGGCCGCTCTCCACGCACACGTTGGTGTTCATGGTGGCGGCGAGCGGGTGGGGGTCGGGGGGAGCTCAGTCCCACGCGGGGCGCGTCCCCGGCGACGCCGAGCGGCCGGCCGGCTTGGCCTGCCGCATCCTCACGGGAGCTGAAAGACACAAAGTGGATTCCCAGGGGGGGGCGGGAGCCAGGGGAGGGCGCGGGGAATTCCCGGCGAAGTCTGCAGGCAGGCGCGGGGCCGGGGCTGCCCACCGGCGGAGAAAGCGTAAGGGGAAAACAGAAAAAAAAAGAAAAACAAAAAAAAAGGAAAAAAGAAAAAAAAAAAAAAAAGAAAAAAAAAAGGGGGGGGGGAAGAGGGGGGAGGCGGGAAGGGGATGAAAAAAAAGCCCCGAAGAGAAGGAGGCGGGGAGCCGCCAGCTGCCGCCGTGTCCTTCTGCGCCCGGCGGTCATTAGCGCCGCGGCACAGCTGGCAGCGGGGCGACAGCCGAGACAGCAGCGCCGGGGCAGGCGAGCCGTAACCGCGCCGAGGCCCCGGGCGCTGCGGGAGCAGGAGCTCACCCCGCAGGGAGGGAGGGATCCCCGAGGCCGTCTGCAGGGAGCCGCGGGGTCAGGGCGGCCGCCCGCAGGCCGCTGCCGGGGGGCTTGGTTTAGAGGCGGGAGAAAGGCACGTTACGGCAGCCTTCGCCAACTGAGGCGAAACAGCAGTAGAACTTCAAAAGCCCTCAGTTTCCGAACAGTGGCTCTTTGTTTTCCAGCTGCCGTACCTGAGCGGCTCAGATACTTCAGCACCTTTTCCGACGGGCGGCCATCGGGCAGAGCCTCCGCTCCGGGCACGCCGCGGGGCCGCATCTAGCTGCCAGACGCCGCCACGTTCAGTTCCAAATGGTTATCAATTACGGTAATTACGATCGTAATTAGATTAATGAACCGTTCGGAGCCCAACCTACCGAGCGCACCAACTTCATCTTCTCCCGAGGCACCGAAAAGCGGGCTTTATGTCAACAGATCCGAGCGTAGGGAGCGCGAACCTGAGCGAGAAGCCTCGCCCCGGGCTGGAGTGCGGCGGGAGGAGACCGGGAGCCGCTCTGCGTCCTCCCCTTGGCGGGGAAGGGACGAGCCTGGGATGCAGCCGGCAATACAAAGGCTGCCCCGAGAGGAAGGCGAGCGGAGCCGCACGGCCTCGGGGCCTCCGGCGGCGGCGGGCACGCATCGATCACGCACCGAGAGGCCGCGTGCCGGGGGCTGAGCCCGCAGCCCTCACCGGGGACCGCCGGCGGGAGGCGGCCGTGGCCGTGCATGTTCGCTCCCGCACGTCTGGCGTGCAGGAGCCGGGGTGCAGAGGTCATATTTGACATTCGGGAGGAGGGGCGGGGGCAGATTAATTAATAAATTAATGCCCCGGCGCCTTTTCTCACCCGGCTCTGGCGTTCAGGTACTTTGGCGAGCCCTGAGGACAAGAACGACGGCAAAAAATAAAAAATAAAAGATACAAAAAGCCGCCGACAAAGCACAAAATGAGAAAGATAAAAAAAAGAAAACCCATCCCCCTTAAAGAACAAAACAAACAAACAACAACAACAAAAAAAACACAGAGAAGGAAGGAGGAGAGGGAAAAAAAGCAAAACAGTCACTTACCGGGCTCTTTATTGGGGGGGCTTGGATGCGCAGCCTGCCCGCCGCTAATTAGTTGCACATCAGTCCCTAACACAAAGAAGGAGACGGAGCAGCGGCGGCAGCGAGCATCCAGCTGTGTCCTGGCGGCTCCTCAATTACAACTTTGCGACTTGTAAACAAACTGCGAGGGGCGGCGGGAAGGGGCGCGGGGGGCGGGGGTGCCCATCCGGCAGCGCCGAGCCGCTAAACAAATACCTGCGAGCGCCGTTCCCCTCGCTCCCTCTCTCCGTCTCGTTGCAGAGAAAGGAGGAGGAGGAGGAGGAGGAGGAGGCGGGGGAGGCGGCGGGGGGCGAGGAAGGAGCAGGCACCGAGGGAGCGCGCGTGTGAGTGTGCGTGTGTGTGTGTGCGTGCGAGGGCGGGCGGGAGCCCGGGGCCGCGTCCCCGCGCCGCGGCCGTGCGCGCCGGGCGGGCGGGGCGGGAGGGAGGGAGAGAGGGTGGGAAGGAAGGAGGGAGGCGGCGGGGCCGGGGGGAGCGGGCGGGGATGCGGGAGGCGGGCGGCCGCTGCCCAGCCGCCGCGAGAGGCGCGCACGGGCCGCCACCCTGCCCGCGGCACGGCACGGCACGGCACGGCGCACAGCGGGGGGCTGCGAGAGCCGCGCTGACGGGAGGCGCAGCTAGGCGCGCAACTTGGTGCCAGCGGCTCAGCGATCGTCAGCATCGTTCGTAGCTGCTGCTGTTGATTTTTCGGGAGGTTTAGGTGCTGCGCGTTGTGGGCAGGTGGAAGGGAAAGAGCTGGCTTGCAGATGTGATGCGGCCTCTGGAAACCCATGGTGTGCCCGCGACCACGTTGCCGTTGGAAAGCCGAAGTTGGTTGGCAGCGTGGGTGCCGGCCGCATGTGGGGTCACCCCATGGGCACCCGGCCAGACGAGCGCCATTCACACCCCCACCGCTTTGAATCTTACATCTGCCTCTGGTCCAGCAGAGCAGCAGCAGAGCAGGGTCTGTCGGACAGCCCTCAGTTAGCTGAGGAGTGCCAACACTTGTATGCATTATTCGGAGCCCGCTGCGGTGCATCCGACTGATCATGTGCCTCTAAACACACAGTGTGCATTTGAAAATACCCCAAACAGGTGTTAACGCATTAAAGCACCACCTCCCAAGGAGACGGCACAATCCTGCAGGACGGGTCTTTTCGGAAGAACTTTTGGGGAAAAATACAACCGAGGGGAAATGGTATTTCAGGAACATCACAGAATGAAGGGGCTCTGAGCACCTGATGGAGTCGTATATGTCCCTGTTCACTGCAGGAGAGTCGGACCAGATGGCCTATAAGGTCCCTTCCAACTCAAACGGTTCTGTGATTCCCTACCCCTCTTCCCCCTCCCTTAGTTCCCATGCCCTGTGCAATACCCAAGCACTCGGCACACCATTCAAACACACAGCCTGAACTGCACATTTCCTCTCATTGCAGCCTTGGTCACACACTAGCAGTCCTTTCTGAGTTAATCTATTACTCTGAAAGAGTTACATTGTTAATAACCAAAAAGAAGAAAGGAGAAAAACCTCTACCCATCTTTTCTCATGTATAAGGAAGGACGTTTCATATATTTTCCAACTGTCAGTTGGATTTCCAATTGAGTTGGATTGCAGTGCTATAGATAATCCTTCTGCTCCAGCTCAGAAAACTTGCACACTTTTCTAGTGCCTGGGAAGAAGCATGGAATTCACTCCAGATGGGTTCTCTCCAAAACCTTCTGTTCAGGAAAGTTGTTTTGTTTTCAGATACAAGCCTGCTTTATCCTGCAGCCCACCGCAAGCCTGAGAGTGTCAAGAGGATGGGAAGAATGGAAAATGTACAGGTGTTTGTTGGCGAGGCAACAAACGAATTCCAGATTGTCCTTCTCACTGTAATCCCTGCTTTGATGGGAGGAATGGAAAGTTGGAAATCCCAGGCTCTGCTTTTTATCCAGAAGTCATTGCTATTTCATTTTTAGCAGGAATGCACAGCCCATGGTGAACACAGAAGCTGCTCTGCTCTGGTTGTTCAAGAAGAAAACTGTAAAAAAAAAAGATCCCAAATTCATTTTTTCTGCTCTTGTTTATTCCATGCCTTGCTCTCATGCCTATCTGTAAAGTGGCCATTGTAAACCTATCCCAACCTGTTGTTAATCCTGTAAGTGTTGTATTAGCATTAGAAAAAGGGGGGAGATAGATAGCAGCAAACATGCTCAACTTTTTGAATGCTTCCTAAAACAACAAAAGGAAAAATAGCCATAGAGTCATTGAATGGTCTGTGACAGAAGGGAACTTTAAGACCATAAAAATCTCAAGAAATACTTTCTTTGATAGTGATGTTGCATAGGTCTGGCCACTTTCTCCTTGAAATAACCACAGATTCTGTTACCATCTCAGTTCCACGCTGCAAGAAAAGGTGTATATTTACAGCTCTGTCAATGCCTCGCTCCTTTCATCTGTTGTCACATTTTCACTGTTAGAGATGCAGACTCATATGGAATAAGCTTGTTTTTCAACTACTTGATTTCACACAACACTATTATTTATGGCTAAGGCTTGATTGGGAGGAATGACAATCAATCACTTGAAGCTGGTGTCAGTGCCAGGAGCATTCGTATCCTACAGGCCACCCTTCTGACTGGCAGCATGCATCAGCACACAGCGGTTGGCCATATCCCTTACTGTCCCCTGAGGTCAATGTTAATCAGCCTTCAGCTTTTCTGCCAGAAGGCATAAAAAAGGGATTCCACATGCTGCGTGGTGTAGGACTGACAGATAAGCCCACAGCAGCGCTCTAGACCATCTCCAGTGTCCCCAGAACCCGTTTCTTTCATAGATTTCAGAGGTATCCCACAGCCGAGCAGCGCTGTGGAGGTCAGCTGGCTTCTGTACACACTAGGGAGTCTGAAAGATGCCAGATGCTGACAGCACAATATCCATCATCTAATGACAAATTATCGTCTCCTTTCCAATGCTGAACGTTCAGCAGCAGGCACCATCTTGCAGAAGAGGTAGCTGCTGGGGTTCAAATAATGCTAACTTTCATCATCATCTAATTGTCACCTCAGCTCTCTGAGTATCTCTCAGTGTTGTCCTACTCACTGCTGTGACCCTGCAGAGTCAAGAAAGGGGTTGTTGGAAAAAGGAAATGAGACCCCTGATGTGAACAGCCGGTGAAAGAATGCATCACACTCAAAGAACGGCGACAAAATGTGAGCTACTGGGCCCGGGCAGGTGGACAAGAGGGCATACGCTGAGGAGCCAACAAAAGCTGGCAAAACAGATAGATAAACTGTATCACGAGGATGTGATAGGAAAACAGGGGCAGGACAAAACACAGAAAGCACCACCAGGGACACAAGCAAATTGTTTTGTCTCAACAAGATCTATTCTTTCTCACACGTGCACAGTCCTGTCCAAAGGTGCAGTCACACCAATATTTTAAGCCAGCAACAGAGCTGCTATTAAGGCAGCTGGTGCTGCACTGCCTGCACCCCCTCGGCTGCCCCTCCTTCACCAGCTGCTTCCCTGCCTGCATGCTCGCACTGAGGATCACCTCCAGCCCGTACTGAGCCCTCCCTGAGTGTAACTCTACCCCCCAGCAAGTGTGCACCTGCCGTACACCACAGCCTTACAACACAGCAAACATGGCCCCGAGTACAGAGATCTTGTTAAAACATGCTGCAGGCAGGCCAGGAGATGCTATCAAGAAGCTAAACAAGAAGCAATGTACCTCTGATCTTTAAATTCTTGCCTGTTATCCCCGCTGAATCTACTTGACTCAAAGTTGCAAAGCGTTACTGGAAGCAGGACGGCAGATGTGCACCTTGTGCATTCACTTATTGCACTCAGTACTTAAAGGCCCACAACTTTTTAGTTGATAACTGAGATTAACAGGCTTCTCTCTTTTATATCTGGGATTGTACTGCAGTACAAAAAATGACACAAAAAACTAACACAAATACTTTAGTGCAGAGCTCGTATGGCATGCAGAGCTTCCTTAGTACCCAAGCCCATTTAACATGTGAATTTGCAGTTACACACAGTAATGAACTGACCAACAATTGCCTGTATAGACAAAGTGGACATTAAGGCTTTACACAACACCACCAAAGTATTTATAAGTTAGTTTATCACGCATAGCAAAGCTGGGCTTCTTGAGACTTCTAATGAAAGCTGATACAGCCATTGCCTGATTACTGTAACGTACACGCAATCATTAATACAAAAGTCCTCCTTAACTATCTTTATTTTATGGCCACAGTTACCCTAGGAGGGAACAGGAGGGGGGAAGGGGAAAGCAATGCTTCTTGCTTGTGTTTATGCCAACTGTAATGGGGTTGTGGCATTGAAGAACGCCAATTAGACACCAAAGTTTATTTCGTGGCCTTGACAACAAGATGTGGGTCTAACAAGACATAGGAAAGCAGCATATGATGTTCTGAGGGCAGAATGAGACAAAATGACACTGTTTGACATTAATCCAGGGGCTGTGGCCAGCTTTCTGCAGTGCCAGAGATTGATTGCTGGCTAGTATGTGAAGGTGGTCTGAATCCACAGTCCCCATTTCAGCTGCACTGAACCAAGTCCTGTTACAGGTAAGTAGCTGAGCCCTGGCATCTGCATGTAACCGACAATCCTGTTCTTCAGCAGCAAAAACACAGACAAAGAAAAGATTCATAAGGGATCTGGTAATTATTTCTCAAGTTTGTTCAGCAAACTGCACTCTGTTGTTATTTTGCTGCTGGCTCCTGCTAATAATTTGCTCTCCATTTATAAAGAATAGAGCCTCCAAAAAATTTGTTGGCATCTGGCTCAATCAAAATGAAAAAAGTCGTAATAAGGAAACTGTCTTTCAGAAAGAGTGAGGATTGTGTTCTCTGAATGTAGATTTTTTTAATGACTTTGGATTTTGCAGATTGTAGTCATTATACAGCTATTTATGAGGAAGTATTATTGTTGTCTTTGTCAACAAAAAAACCTCGAGAACACTGTCTGTCACCTAGAATTGGTATTGCCACAAAATAAATCTTCTCTCAGCGTTCCTGTGGATGTTTTCACAGGATCGTTAGAGAACCTGAACCCCACTATTAGTGCAAATTAAAAATTATTTAATAGTGCTGCCTGTGAAAGGGTGCTGTTTTTACAGCTGTCAAAGACCTCAGACACCGATCATTTTGTATAACAATACGTTATTTTCTTTTAGTACTTCTAGACAAATTGCAGGTGTTATCTTATGATTCTTTTAATGTCTGTATTATTGTAAAAGCACTAGAATGAGTGAATAAATAGTCACCTAAAATAGGTATTGATTTTGAATCTTTAAAAGCAAAGTACCAAGAACATCAGTAATATGTTTACCTCAAAAATATGAACATCTTTACGTACCCTTCCATTCACACTGAAAGTTCTGGAGCTTTGTTCCTCTCTGGAGAGAGTTCCTACTGTGTACCATTTACACCTCATGTAAACTTGTAGGTTAAGTGGTACATTAGTCTTGCTTGCAATCAGAAATTACACCTGTCCTTCGGGAATGCTTCTAAATATTTTGACTTTAATGACGGAGCTTTTTAGCCTTTCTCTTTGTTCAAGTCAAAGTTAGCTTCTTGTTGCTTCCCCTGTTGCTCCTGCTCCCATGTGCAGAATCCCACCTGCTAAAACCCACCACTGCCAAACATGCAGCAGACTGTAGACAAAAGACAACGTTCAATGAAACAGGAACCACTGAATTTCCCTTTCAGGCCATGACCATGAAACAGTGGGGTCACAGCAGACCTGTAGCATACACAAAGAAGCAGATCTTTCAGGAATGCATATTTTCATATATTGAAAGAAGTATAGGGGCTGCACACTTCCCAGCCACGTGCAATTCCTAGCAGTGTGTAATTCTATTTACATTCATGTGTCTCACTTCCTGCTGCAGCTGTAATAAACATCCTTTTGTATTTGGCAATTTCAGGGTTACTCATCTTTCTTTCCTACTGTTATCAAGTCTCTATTTCAAATATCTGCCTATATCCTGCTCTTTCCAGTAAGACATATCAGTCTACAGATAATATACGCGCCCCATGTGTACAGATGCCCATGCTAAGCCTCCAGCTGTGCTGCTCCCTTTGGCTAATGTTTCTCCTTAGCAACTGCACCCCACACCAATCCTTTCCATACCATCAGCTCACCTGCCCTTTCTCTGCATTTGGTCCAACTCAAAAGACTTGCTTGTTCTTTTCTGACAGAACACTGGCAGTTTCCAAACAATTTTTGCTTCCTAAGGTAGACTTCAAAATGAATATATGTGACTGCATACATACAATGGCCGCTGGTTTGTGCAGTGATCCCAGGGAAGAACAAACTTTAGTTGTCAATAACATAATCCTTATTAGAGTCCAGGTCACAGATAGATCAGAAGGGCATATTTTGATTTTTATTTATCTCCCCTGACTCAGATGTATAGGTTAAAAGGTGAAGTTAGGTAAGATGCCCTCCAACCCAGAGAGCCCAAATCACCCTCAAAGAGGAGCTGCTGTGTCAGAGCTGTGAGAGAGCACATGCAGGGAGACAGCAGGTTCTAGACTGATTGAGAGAAGACCCACAGCAGTGATGAAAAAGACCAGAGAAGACTGGGCAACAGTAGTACAGCAACCATGCACACTGGAGTAGTTCTGAAACCAAAGTAGTTTTATTTATCATTAAGTCTGACTTACTTATGAACTCTGTAACTATAAAATCATCTCTTCTTTATCACCAATCAATCTGCAGAAGCAGGCAGAAGCAACTGCTCCAGTGATAAGATCCACAATACTACCTGTTCTCAGGAAACTCTAGTACAAAAGTCTTACTTTCTTCTTCCATCAAATGTCTGTTAACATTTCTCTCGCAGTGCATCTTACCACCAAGATGAATAAATTCATCAGTAGTAACACAGACATACATGATTGCAATTGCTCTAGCATGTGCACACCAGCTCTCCACTACGTTTCACAACACATTCATATACAATCGTAATGTGTTCTCCACTGGATACACTGTGCTTTCCAGTCACAA